AAAATCTTAAAAGCAGCAAGAGAAAAGCAATTAGTTAGGTACAAGGGAGCTCCCTTAAGACTGTCAGCTGATTTCTCAACAGAAACTTTGCAGGTCAAAGGAATTGGCAAGAAATATTCAAAGTGATGAAAAGCAAGGACCTACAACCAAGATTGCTCTAACCAGAAAAGCTATCATTTAGAATCGAAGGATAGATAAAGAGCTTCCCCTACAAAAAAAAAAACACAAAAAAGCTAAAGGAGTTTATCACCACCAAACCCATATTATAAGGAACCTTCAAAGGACTTCACTAAGACTGAAAAAGAAAAATATAATGAATAATAGCATGGCAATAACTACATATCTATCAGCAATTACTTTAAAGGTAAATAGATTAAATGCTCTAATCAAATACAGAGGGTGGATAAGAAAGCAAGACCTTTACATGTGATCCTCAGTAGAGGCTCACTTCAGATCAAAAGACACATGTGGTCTGCAAGTAAAGGGATGAAAAAAGATATTTCATGAAAATGGAAACAAACAAAAAAGCTGGGGTAGCAATACTTACACCAGACAAAACAGACTTTAAAACACAGACTATGGCAATAGACAAAAAATGATCCAGTAATTCCACTTCTGGGTATTTATCTGAAGAAATTTGAAGGGACCCATGCATCCCTATGTTCATTGCAGCACTGTTTACAATGGCCAAGATATGGAGGCAACCTGAGTGTCCATTAATGAATGGATGGGTAAAGAGGTGGTACATACATACATTGGGATATTACTCAGACACAGAAAAAAATGGAATCTTGCCATCTGCAACAACATGGATGGACCTGGAGGGTATTTTCCTGAGTGGAGTCAGTCAGACAGAGAAAGAAACTCCATATGACCTCACTTACCTGTGGAATCTAAAGAACAAAATAAAAGAACAAACAGAACAGAAACAAACTCATAGATAATGAGAACATTTTGATGATTACCATGATGGGAGGATGGGTGAAAATGGGGAAGCGCTTAAGAAATCCAAACTGGTAGTTACAAAATAGTCATGGGAATGTAGGGTTTAGCATAAGGACCATAGTCAGTAATATTTTATGACTATGCATGGTGTCATATAGGTACTAGATTTATTTGGGGTTGATAACTTCATAAATTATATAAGTATCTAATCTCTATTTGCACATCTGAAACTAATATAATAT